AGCCCCTTCCAGCCCCTGACAGCCCCAAGGGGAAGGAATTGTTCCCCATGCCCAACCTCACCCTGCCCTGGCACAACTTGAGGCTGGTGCCCCTCGTCCCATCGCCCGTTCCTGGGAGCAGAGCCCGACCCCCACCTCGCCTCAGCCTCCTGTCAGTCCAACAGAAAGCACGCTTCTACAAAGGATGCATTTAATTCCAGTAGGAATTAAAAATCAAAGAAAAAAATAAAAAAAATAGCTCTGCAGTGGCCCAGCCCCATCCGACAGGATCATAAAAATTAAGCATCCTGCATACAGTGAAGAAAGAAGGGGGAAAAAGGGCCAGATCTCCATCACCAGCGTTTTGCTCAGCTCAGCGGCAGTCGTTCCGTTGTCAGATGAATGTGGGATTTACTCAGGTACCTGATCTTCAAACCGCTCACTTAAATTTCTGCTTCTTCGCCTTGACAGCACCCAAAATGCCCATTCTGTCGAAAGACAGAAGGCCAACAGATTCCTGACAATTAAAAATAAAAATGATTTCAAAGAAACGACTAATCTTTCTAATAAAAAGCTTCATTATAGCTGGAGCAAAAGGATAGCCATGCAATTGGAAATTTCCACTAATAAATATCTGAATTCTGCATCTGTCAGTCTATTGGAAGACAATTACGGCATTTTTTTCCTCGCCATCTAATTAATTCAGTAATGGTTTTGTTTACAAAACAGGCTAGAGGCGACAATAAATTTGATTGCACTTCATAATCTGTGGCCAGATTTCTCTTAAAACACAAATAAAAATGAGAAATGCCATAGTGTCCATTTTAAAAAGGTCTGTATAGCCCCGGTAAAGCGTGGCTGGAACTCAGGCTTTGGTTTTATGCGTATGTCTTTATTAATCTCCGTATTGTAAAGGAGTTTAGCTTTTAGTGGCCACCATCAGGCCAAAAGGACTTCAAGGGGGTCTGCCTAGTATACGGCACCATCAGACACTTCCATGAATGGCTTGGATTATGAAATAAGAGGGATGTTATAAGCTTTGCATCTATTAAAATCCAGCCAGAGAGGGCTGGGAGCACTTGTGAGAAGAGCAAGGGAATTCAAACTGATTTTTACAAATGGAAGCGATCAAAGGGACACCAATGACTGGCAATCGAAGGGACACCAATGACTGGCAATCGAAGGGACACCAATGACTGGCAATCGAAGGGACACCGATGACTGGCAATCGAAGGGACACCGATGACTGGCAATCAAAGGGACACCAATGACTGGCAATCGAAGGGACACCATTTAGTAGTGGCAACGTGCTGCCCCCATTGTCCGTCTGTAGCTGAAACCGAGTTGCAATCAAGCTTGCGATGGGGTGTGGAGAAAATACATTTTTGCTATTTTATGACAACAGGAGTGATTTAAAATCTTCTCCTTCCTCCACCTCCGAGTGATTGTTGGAAGTGATAGCTGTGTAAATCAATATAACAAAAAGGCACGTGTTCAGGCGTGGACCTGATTTTCAGTCTACCTGTGCTCAGTCACCACCTACGTGAACTGATTGCACAGCAATAATGACCCTAACCACATACGTGCGGGTACTCCAATACATTTAATTCAGAGCTGTCTAAACTAATCTTGATTTAAATCCAAAATAACTGACCTGGGGCAGACGATTAGAAACACAGTACTTAAATTAAAAGGCAATTAAAGAACAAAGACAAGAGCAATGAAGTTCAGGAGAGATGATTTATGAAGGCTGAGGACACCTGACCTACATCGCTGTCCTCTGCAAAGCAGTGCTTGGTGGGGTACCAACCTCAGATGACATACCCATTCCCTCTTCCCACATAGTATTGAGGCACCTGGACCCCAACACAGAAGACACTCAGCTGAGTGCTGAGAAGCTGAGCTGCAAAAACCAGTGGATGCATCTGTTAATCTGTGCTATTAAAACCCACAAAGTCCACTCCTGCTGTTTCCTCTCTGCCCTGCTAAGGGAGGTGTCCACCGGCTGGGCGAGACGTGTCCCAGAGCAGCTTGCACCTACTTGGCAGCCCTCTGAAATGTGGGAGGGTTGTCCTAGGAATGTGCCACTGTCTGGCCAGACTGGGCAGACCGTGGTCTCTCCAACCCACCTGTTTGCTTTTCAAACACTGAGGACCCACAGGTCCCGCTGAAAGTGAACAAAAGCTTTTATTCGCCCTTGCTCCCGCGGCAGAGTTGCTCCCTGCCTACAACAGCGCAGCCCCTACTCAGCTGGTTTCAATCCTTGAGAGAAGCCTGGGTAAAAGCTGGTTACATTGTCCAGCTGGGGACAAAAAAGGAGAATAGCATCCATGAGGACAAGGCATGCTTCAAGAGGCATCAGGTAGCCATCCAAAAAATGAAGCAAACTATGTACAACACCACTGAAAATCTGTGGGGAATGCCTCTTGGCACACAAAAAAATAAAACTACCTAGAAAAGCAAGATAAAAAGAGGTATTTCCGCATGTAAACTCCACAGAATTGAAAATTATTTAAATGTTAGGCCATCTTGCCTAAGAGCCACGTACTGGTGCATGAATGCACCGAAGGGGTGACCTCTCCAAAGCGGCAGCATTCACGGAGGCGTCTGGAGAACCAGCGCGTACTGGTACAAACCACAGCTGGAAGCTAGACCTCAGGCCAAGGGGAACCCTACCGCTTTTGGGCCAGCAAGACCCCAACTAAGCCCGAGGCATCCCAGTTCCCAACCAGACACCCCCAGGTTACGGAGCTGCCCGGGGGGGGCTCGCCCACAGCGGCCAAGGGTAAGCTATAAAACCCCTCCTCTTTGCAATGTACTTTATTTGTTCGATCAGTTTTACTCTTGGAAAACACAAAAATGTGAATGTTTTCCAGGAACAGATTTCAATGCTGCCGTGCCCCAGCAGGCTGCTCTAGCACACGCAGGCAATAAATGAACCGATTCCTCCAATACATTTTGGTTATTTAATTTTTTAAGCCTTAAATTATAAAACGTATTTCTCATGGAGAAGATAGAAGCCAGAGGTAGCTCAGTTTTGACAAGAAGAACGTTTTCTTGTTTTAGTAACAAAATTTCCCTTGGTAGTAAAGAAAAATAATAGAATCTGGAGTGCTAAGCTAAACTTTCAAATATCTTTTATCCTTCTGTGTGTAATTCAGCATTATTAAAGAACTACAGAAAATGACCTTAACCAGCATTATCCTGCTACGGAGAGGGGCACCCACCCCTGACAAAAACCCCTACAAGGTGACGTAGGCTTCTACAGGCTGAGGAGGTGGAACTAGGACTTTTTGGAGGCTTCTGAGATTTGGACATCTACGATTTCAGTATTTCTAGCTGACTGTGACCTGTTAGGTTGAAGTGACAGAGCATGTCCACTCCCGCTCTTCTTTTTTTTGCCAACCATCACACACTGATAAGATTTGGGTTTTGTCAACATCTTAAAGCTTCCAAATTAACTCTGTGAGCAGCCAGAGGTAGAGGACTGGCCCATGGCCATCAATAGCACAGTCCAACTTGTTTTCCTATCTGTGCAGTTTGAGGGTCCCATAAACAACCCCCCATGAAGACAAACTCATGCACCTTCCCAGGAACATCTTGAGGCTTTCAAAGCTTGACAGCATGCATCAGAAAAGCCTGAACAACGAAAACAAAGCTCACAAGGTCCTCCACAAGATTCACAACAAGCCCCAAACTGGTGGGCCCCTCACTACAGATCACCTCAGGTGGCGAAGCCAGCGGTGATGTTAATTTAGAACACAAATCTCCTGAGCTTTATGCTGTTGTCAACAGAGGGGGAAGGGCCTTCAAAAGGCGCAACCCGAATTAAACTCATGCTCTAAAGCATCCTCCACAGCAGATGACTATAGAAGGAGCGGGGCAAGGACAGCCTTCCCAGGCTATGCATGAGCTCTCGTGACTGGCTTCCAAAACAACAGCTGCTAATAGCAAATAAATAAACAGATAAATAAATAAATAAATAAATAACCAAACCCAAGCCCCAGAACGGGATGAGCATTCTCATGGATGTGCTCTGCTCCATGCAATTTTACACACATCGGAACAGGAACAGTCAGAAATCAATCACACGGAAGAGAGAGTCGCACTTTCAACACAGAATTTACCCGTTGCGTCACAAATAATCACCGGCAGACTTCATTTTGCTGGTTTTCCAGTTCCCAGCACTATAGGTGCCTTTGGCTCCCGCGGGGTTACGGGGTGGGGATTTCCCCAAAGTTTCGTGATGGCAGCAGTAACTCGGTTCACTTTGCCCCTAACTTACAGGAGTTCCTAACACGCTCTACCGGTGTCCGGTATCAGAAGCTCCTCCGCGGTCAGCACTAAGCTCCCTCTTTCTATTATAAGTTTTTGTATTTCCATGGTATTACAAACGGGTCACACAACGGCTGCCGTTCCAGTCGCCTCCCGCTCAGACTTTGTTTTTAAGAAGACTACAGAGCTCTAAATTCAAGCAGAGCAAAAAGCAAGCTCAGATTTTCCCCTTTCTCTAAAATTCTGAAATAAATTAAGTAATTTTCTGTGAAGTGGTGCCATAGTTCAGACATTGAATCAACAGCTTTTGCGATAACCAAGATCTCTCTCTAGACCTGAATTAGAAACTGCTTGGAAGAGGCTTCGCACCATTATTCCAGTTTTGGCTAAGTAAGATTTTAGGCTGCTCTTTTAATCTTAGCACCCAACAGCCACACGACTCTTCAGGTTGTTTTCAAAAGGCAATCAATGCCATAAACATAGGAGCACTTGGAGAGAGAAGATGTGTGCTCCTCTCTCAACCTCGTGCACAGATTCTTCTTGGTTACTGCAAAGCATTTATTTGTACCTTTTTATTTACCAGAAAATGTAATTCCCCTTTCTTCAACCCTTGGAAAATACGTAATTCCATAACATAATTTTCTTCCTGTTATTTGGGTGCAATGAGAAAGAAAAACTCAAAGACTATTAACAGAGTACTCGTTCTAGCACATCACACACGCTTCAAAGAAGAAAAGGTTACCTACCAGCTCAACTCGTCCAAACCCTCCGACTCCAAGGGTGTCAATGATGTTGAAATCAGACAGTTTCAGGTTGGCGAAGAAGGCAGCTTCGGCTTCGTATCTGGATTTTTTTATGCGAAAAAACGGAAATTTCTTAGAGGTGCAAACATGAGTACTGCACAATACTGTACCCGAATGGCATGAGCGTGGAACAGCCTTTACCTGCTTGATTTCCATCTTATCTCTTACAGTTTGCTTTTATTCCCGCGCATCGTTTTTGCTGGTCCCAATTATAGCATCGCTCTGATGTGCAGGGTTTTCCAAGGGAGGAAAGCAAACATGCCTACAATGCGGATGCCTGGCACTGCAATCCAGCTCCAGCTACCCAGCAAACGCTACATTTTGGTATTGTCTATTGATCTTCTTGTGGGTGGTGGGTTTTTTTTGGTGTCTTTAAGTATTTTTGGAAGATAAAGTCTCTCTTATCCACAGGCTGGCAGTAGTTTCTATAAATGTTTATTGAAAGTGGCAAGATCATTAAGGTCCCTGGAGAGAAATCACAGCCAGGTTTTATGAAATCAGATCCGATAAGCTGCGGGCTGGTGTGCAAATGCCTGAAATGAATGACTTCAGTCACATATCAACATTCCTAAAAGAATTTCTTCCCTTCTTCTCCTCCTATAAACTCACTTGGAGTAGACGTCTCAACCCAGGAGGTCCCAAAATCCAGATGCTCTCTCTTAAGCCCATGTCCAACTGGCTCGCAACACAAGTTCACCAAGCCCTTGACTACGGAAGCATGCAAATTGAACACATGCAAGCCTGCCAAAATAAGCTTCCCATGACCATCCTCATGAATATGATTCCTCTAAAATAGCTCCTTGTCAAGGTTTATGGTATTTTTAGAAAGGCTCAGAGGGGAAATGGATGAACAGGATCCACCCACTCAATAAAGTTTGACATTCAGCTGCCGGAGAGGTCCCCGTGTGCGTACAACCTTTGGCCGCTGGTGACACAGACTTGTATGGGAAAAGAGCGTTGATGGGATTATGGAGAGAGGCATGGAGGCTGTAAAGGGGGAGCCGCCTTGGTCTGCAGTACTTAATTTTAGCCATAATATCTTGCAACGAACAGACCGACCATAAGCTGCTGTTTCACCTGAATGCGTCGTTTGTGCCTGCTAACGCTGGCGTAACGACAGAACATCGGTGTTAGCCACAATCATACACACATATCCACCTAGCTTCTTAACGTACCTTGTCCACCATGCCCGTCCCTAATTCACTAAGGGAATTGATTTACTTATTCCCTTCAAACCACCTTCTTTAGTCTACTTAAAACTGCAGTGACATCGGGGGAGAAAGAGCAAGAAGAAGTTTTTTCAAGTTAAAAGGGAAAAATAAAGAGAGCTGTTGAGAAAGGCGAAAGGTCACACGCTCAAGCCCCAAATCCAACGCAATAAAGCGGAATTTTATCTCGGGGCTGACAAATTACTTAAGCTCTGCTTTATTATTTATGCTGTCACCAGATCCTCCCGGTGACATTGCGCCCGTGGCCACAGCAGCCCGATGCATCCGATTTTGGAAACCAATCAGCACCGAGCCTGCTTCGAACTTGGGATAACCTTGTGTGGCACAGCTGCGTATCGATCGCTCTATACTCATCATGAGGTGCATACCAAACCTGTCACTAAAAACCTCAGCTAAAGGGAGGCGGATTTGTACGTCCCCTTCTAAATCACAGCAGACACGCCGGTTTAGGGGTGACAGAGCAATGAGAGGAGTCTAATTTTCATGATAAATGTATAGACAGCTCCTGAGTTATCGTGTGCATTCCTGACCAGTTAAAGACCCTTAATGATTTATAATTGCTCAGAAGATGAAATCCCAGCAGGAAAAATTTCCCTTCAACAGTCTAACAACAGACGCAAAGCTTCAGGTCAAGAGGCCCTGCATTACCTGCGCCCAAGGCTCGGGAGCCTCTGCTCTTGGCAGAAGGAGGCAGGGACCAGCTATGCCGCCTCCTCCCCCGGGAAACTGGTGAGGGCTTCCCAGTGCTGAGCAAGCGGGCGACGGGAGAGGCCAAACAGCGGGGTGTCAGAGGGCTAGGGTCTCCCCAGACATTTGGGACAGAGAGGGCAAACGTTTCAATGGGTTTTTTCCCTGTAATACCTCTTATCCCGAAAGACCGCGAAGTCCTACAAAAATGATGTATCTATCGTTCATATGCCATGATGTGAGAGGACAAAAAGTAGGTAAGACATAGCATGGTGCTGGCGAGGCAAGCAGGACCATAGTCCCAGCCCCTGCAAATTCCACCAATTCTCCTGAAAATCCCCCGGTTCGAGGGGATCTGCCGCTCCACTCCCAACTTCTTTATCGTTCGTTGCAGAAGCCGAAAGCTCTGCTGATGGCTTTTAAAGCAAAAAAAAAAAAAAAGTGTCCATTTATCACTGTGCTTAAAAAATGTACTTGCAGCATCATTGCGGTTGCTTTTTGAAATCTCCTGGCGAATTCTCTTTGACAGACTGCTCGTGTGTGGTTAGCACATACGAGCGCAATGACGCACGTAAACCAACTCGGATGCAGTTCTCTACGTAGCGTGCAACAGGCATCCGAAACACAAAAGAAATTCCCAAAACACATAGCGAAAACGAAACGCGTGTAAACTCAAGCAAGCCCTTCACATGCTCAACAACAACAGTCACATCTGAATTCTGCTTTATTCCCTGCTACAAACGTTGAAGTCCACTTTCAAATCAAAACCCTGTACACAAACAGCGTTATGCACTTCAGCCCTGCAAAGCTGAAGGACAAATCCCTTCAGTCACTGAAAGAAAAAAGGCTGAAATGCAAATATTGCCCAGCCATCTCCAAAGATCAGAAATCAGGGCGTAATCCTCATCCTGAAATTCAGAATCTGAATTCAACGTCTGTCCTTCAACTTCCTTCATCTGAGCATGCCGCTCCCTACACAGAAACACCTGGGGGTTCACAGCACGTGCTCCTTGCTTGACAAAATTATAGTGAAAAACCTACGTGATGCCCTGATTTTATCACCTCCAAAAGAAAAGGGACCCTTTCAAGGCAGCAGGAGGACGGTGCAAAGAAGTACAGAGGAAGTTTAAAAATTAATATTGTGTCTGTAGGAAAATGTTCAGTTCTGAAGCAGGTCGAAGAGATCTGCTACGCTCAGCTACTGAGGAGGACGCTTGGGATATTCCCTGGGAATGTAAGAGAGATGGGAAGAATGGCAGAGAGAGTTTGACCACACTTGTGCAAGAAGACCTGGAAATAACTCAGCACTCTGTGGGAAAAACACGCGTGTGCCAGGCCAGGACGTGTATCTTCTGGGTACCACTTTGCAGATGCCACAGCCTCGTCCCATCTGGTACTTAGCAGTCTGATGAGAAAGGCAGTCATAGCCTAAACACGCAGCCATATGCCCGTGCTCTGAGACTTTTCAAACAAGAAAATGACTTTTTGGCCTCTGGAAGAGTTTTAAGTTCCTAAATTAATAGATAAGAGGTGCATTGGGACGATGTCTTGGGCAAGCTCGGAGGCGTGAATGCTGATCAGCATCACACCCACGTTCAGGGACATTCTGGAGCTACGCCGATGCAAGGCTCAAACTTTCTGTTCTGGGATTTCCAGGGTTTTCTGACTCTAGTGGAATTAGATGTAATTAAGAAAGAGCTCTTCTCTGGCTATTTTGGTAATTGTGCTTCTTGCCCCAACTATCACAGGCCAAAGTGCCTGGAAAATCATCACTGGAAGTGCACAAAAAGATACGGAGTACGCATTGTCCAAACACAGAGACTCAACAAAAAGTCTGTTCTTTAACAAAGAGCTTTTAAAATTAAGGCTGAGATTTTTACAAGTGCTTGTGGGAGGCCAGGTATCAACTCCCAGTGCACTCGTAATGGGACTTCTTTGCTTACTGAACCCGGGTTTTGTCACCTACCCTGCCAAACCAGCCCTGCCAGAGCTCACAGTCCACTCCTGTAGCTAAGAGCAGAGGTATCTTCTCCAGCGGGGACATCAGAAGACGTTACGGAGGAGGAAATGCTCAGATCTAGGTCAAACGTGAGCATCCTGTGGAATCTCCCAAGCTCTTGCCCAAGGTTTCTTGCAAATCCAAATGACAGAGGTACCTACTGAAACCTCACTCAAACGACTGGCTTTCCGTAACGATCGTGCCTTAACAAGTATCAGCGCCTTCCTATGGAAGAGTTGGGGCTTGGGACCACCGTTTTTTTCTCCCATTCCAAATAAAATACATATTCTTACTTGATTCAGCCTCCTCTTCAGCACAGACAGGCATCATATGCAAGAAACCAGAATAATTGGGGGGATGAGGAGTAAATACCATCGTCCACATGTCCCATTACTTTGAAACAGCGGCGCAGGAGCCACAGCCCAAACATTTGGGCAATGCCTGCTATGCAGAACAGGAGAGGAAAACACGTGTCTCCTTGCACTGCCGGAGGCTTCCAACCATTTAAACAAGCGATTGCCTCCTAGGACAACAATTACTCCAAAACACACTTCAGGCTTTCCCTCCCAAAGCTACAAATAAAACCCAAAAGAGAACCACCTTACCGAGGCAGCTAGAAAGGGTAAATGAGAAAATGCAAGGAGCAAAGGTTTGCAATTACCCAACTGCTCAGCTTTACTAAACCAGCTCACAATTCCAATCACGAGCTAAATGTGTTGGGAAACATCAGACATCTGTTACCAAACTGTCATCTCGATAGAAAACTTGGCTTCTTTCCACCTGCGTGCTGCCAACCAGACCTCAATTGCAACCAAATGGGACCCAATCACCAACTCCCTGATAGGAGCGAACACAACCATTTTGGGTGCATAAAACCAGAATTTCAGAGCCTTCCTCAGTGACAGACACCTGCTCCTTCAACAGCCATTTTGTTGGCTGGCCCAGGCCCTGTATCACCCATCGCAGAGGCGATGCACTTCTGCAGATAGAAACATCGCATCTCTGCAAAGACTAGAATAACTTGAATCGCAATACTTGGATGGCGATGATCAGATCCAGCCTGCAAGAAGACACACATGCAATGAGCCTGAAGAGCCACAGGTGGGGCAGGGAAGAAAATACATC